TGTCCCTGCTGTCTGCCAGTGACTCTGCTCAGTTATGCAATATGTCTTGGTTCCTCCTTACAGGAGCAGTTTCATTCCATATCATTAACTTACTCCTGTTGCTGCTTGGTCATCAGATTATTATATGCCAGCTTTGCAAGTTATATTTCTGGGGTTTTCAGGGCAAGGGATTTCTGTCTGTGGAAACAAAACATCAGTAAGATGATAAGGATTGAGCAAGAGAAATGAGCACTTTGCATGATAAATCCTCATGCAGTCATTTCTTGTTGCCTTATAAAGATGTATCACTCAAAGTCTGTTTGCAAAAGTTCATATAAAATAAATTTCCTGACATAAATAACTCCATTAAAATCAAGAGATGGGCATCATTGCAAAATTGCTGTAACTAGAATAAAAATCAAATTCTCTCTATTTGTATCTGTTTCTGTAAAGGGCATCCCAACTGTGATCTCCATGTCTTACAAATATTTGTCCTTTTCTTCTTGGATAAGGAAAGTTCTTCTGGCTCCATTTCCAAAACAGCATGACTGACAGAAAGAAAAAAGCTGAAGGCTAAACCAAAAGTCTGTGACAGAACTGAGAATAGAAACGAGACCTTTTCTGTTTTGTTTTCAGCTTCTTTCACCAATGTAATTAGGAATCTCTGAACTAAAATTTCATATGAACCCCTAGATTGCTAGATGAAAGTTGTATAAACAGAATCAAATAATCTCATTATTTTCTTCTGTGTTATATCTCAGAAAGAAATAAAGTTCTTTTATTACCAGGGTGTCATTTCATTTCCCAGAACAGATATTTCACCTCAGCTGATCGCTTTCATCAGTTTACAGAAAAAAATATTTTAAGTTTTCTACTTTGTGTGTTCCTAATCTCCTAGCGCTCAAAGAAAATGTGTTTCCAAGAGCATATGAGCATTTAAGGCCCAACGTGAATTCCACTGGAGTCAATCAGACAGCCTTTTAATGTTCAAGGTGGGTAATCTTTCACTGAGAGCCCATCTCAGGTTTTACTGATATATTTTCCGTAAAGTTCTCAGGAAGACATTGGAATCAGAGACCTGCTTGACACTGCCAAGGCTTTTCAAAACTAGTAGTCATAACTTCTTTTAAAAATCACTAGAATAAAAAAGGGGAAGAAATAAGTAATAGCAGATAGACTGCAAGACCAAAATTTTTGTTTCAAATTGAATCATAGCTTGAATTTCTTTTTCCAGAAGATACATCAAACTCAAGTAGTTAAGACTACAGACCAAAAACCTTAATTAAGTATAACGGTGCAAGAATTTAGAGATGGCATATATATGGAATTAAAATAAATGACAGTAAAGTGGTGGGTCCTCCCGAGTGCCAGTGAGGTTAAAGGTCAGCCCTTCAGCACATGAACCTGAATGGTCATCAGCTCTGGAACCCAGGGCCAGCAGGGCAAAGGCAGCAGAAATGCTGACCAGGGAGAAGAAAATGCTCTTGCTGGGTTTTTGGGCAGTCACTTGCCTGTAAAACTAGAAGGAAAAGTCTGTGTTGCTGGGGACTACCCATTGACAGGACCCAAAAGAATCTCCCTCACAGGGATGCTGCTCCTGTGGTGCTTAGTTTTCTTATCCTGCTTGTGGCCACTGGACTGTTGACAGCCAGGGACAACAGGCTCAAATGCAGCAAAGGAGCATTACATGCAGTCATGGGTAAAGAAAAAGTAAAGCCGATTCAAGGATTCTTGATCTAATTGTAAATAGATTGTATATCTGGGTACCATGCTAAAACAACTCCTAAGTTCATCCATCTGGCCCTTTGAGAACTTCTGTAGTTATTACTTTATCAGGTTATAGCAACATTTGTCTTTCTGATCTGTCAGTAAAACCATTTCAAAATATTTTTAGCAATCAGAAAATAGAAGTTTTCCTTTGGTCTGTCACTGTCTATGAGAATGAATTGATCACAGGGATCTGGTTACATCTCTCTGATTCGCACTAGTTTGGTGCTGGTATTCCTGCAGTCATGGTCTGCTTTATTTAACACCACTGTCAGATTCAAGGAGTGGGGAGCTGTGCACTTCATCACCTCCATCATCACCTGCCTGCCTCTACACCATCATTGGAAGGAGAGCTGCACGACATTAGCCTTGGGTGCTGAGCCTTTCCCAACGGGGCGATCCAGCTGCCAAGGGAGACTCTCTAATGGCCTTTTTCTGCCAGCTCATTCCAGTTTGCAGAGTCAGGGCAGCTCCTAGCAAACAGCTTGCACAACTGTCGAAAACTGTCAGGTCCCTGAACTAGTGACAGACTTTCTGGTTCATAACAATAATCTTGGTTTCAGTATTTTTAAGGAGGTGGCAGACTTGGACAGTGGCTACGCCTCCACAGTAAGTTGAATCACATTTTAAACTGTATTTAAGTTCATTTATATTACAATGTAATAGAATTAAACTTGCATATTTTGCCCATCATGATAGTTTCTCTGTGTTCAGCTGTGAAGTGTTTCAGGTATCTGCATCATCAAAGCATTGCTGTATCATCTGAGGACTGGCAAAATCCTTAATGAGGAGCAGCCTTTTGAAAATAAGCATGCAGTTACTGTGACAGCAAATGCAGAGGTCTGATCATAAGAAACCACCAAAATACATCCAAAGGAAGTACCTGGGAGCCTCACAGTTTGTGACTTGCAGTAGTTTTGAAGGGTATTTCCTGAACTGCCTAATCTTATTCCATAGAAGGGCAAAGGGTCTCCAGTTCCTTCATTTTTGGGATGTAGCTGGTGAAGGCGTATCAGCATGACCTGGAATTTACTGTCATTCAGAAAAGGCAGATTGCCAGCAGAGAAGGAGCTTATAGGGTTGACCAAGAGAGGAACAGTTTCCCATCCCTCAGTCGGTCACTCTGGTTCCATTTGTGCTAGTACCCTGCGCAGTGCTGCGGCACAGGCATGGCCATCAGCCTGCAGTCACTCATATTCTTACATTTTTAGTACAGTTTCAGACACAGGTATTGCTCCTACCATCTGTGATTCTTCCAAACAAGTGCTAAGCATGTTTTTTGGAGTTAGCACAGGCCAGGGGATGTTTCCAATAAGCAGCCTGGATGTCTTGCAGGATCAGAGTTCAGTAATATGGGTATGTGCTGTGATGAGCCAGTTGACCTCATGGCTAGAGAACAGATCTTGATGCACTTTATTTACTAGCATAGATGTAAACTCTGGGGGTATAATTAGTCTCAGTGTTTGTTTATCCCTTCCAGGTAGTCATACCATACCCCTTCTGAACTTCTATTTGTTGATGAGACATGAAGCAATGCCAGTAGCACTTTTTGTGTGTCTAGCCAACTAAAATATTCCCCACTTCTGATTTAGCTGCTGCTTCCACATAGGATGCTTGTGGAGAGTTTGTTACCTTAAAGGGGGACTCAGAGAAGCCAACACAATGTGGGTAGATGCTATCAGCTGTGGATGTCATAAAGGAGAGTATGGCAAAAGACTTGACCTTCAAAGGAAGTGCCCAGGCCTAGTGTGAGTGTGACTGACTTCCTCAACGTGAATATGAAGCTATGCCTTCCTTTTCCTGGAAGCCCCGCCAAAGTCACAAGATATCATTGCCTCAGCCACCACCCACTCAACAGCGTAGTTTGCAGAGAATTCATTAGGATTTATCTGCCAATCCCATTCACCATCCAGGGAAGGGCAGACCTGGATTTCCATCTTCCAGAAAAATATCCTTACCAGCACTCCAGGCCCAAGGCTAGCTTACCTTTCACAGGTGTCAGCCTGACCAGCCTGGAGTTTAGGGTGTTGGAGGTATGGGATTGTCTGCCCTCAGGAAAGGGAGGGGTCTAACTATGAGTATTCCTGAGTATCCTGTACCCCAGGCAAATGCTCTAACTGCACAGACTGGTGTGGGCAGGTATCAGTTGCCTTGGAGAGGTTGGACTCTACGGAGGAGCTTTACTTATGTATCAATTGCTCTATTATCAAATTGACCTCATGACCCTATAGAGTCAAACTTCTGATATGAAAAATTAAACTCCTGATCTCCTAACCTGGTATATTTTAAGAAATTGAATGAGGTTCAACACACTGAGAAAGGTCTGTTTTCTTTTCACGTAAGTCTATGCTGTTGTACCCCTGAGCAGCGTTAAACACATTTATCACAGGTAAATATCTGCTGTTGATCCCACAGGCTGGAACAGGGAGGGAGTCAGGCTGACACCACACCAGACTGGCTTTGTTTCTGTTGGCACGCATCCCTTTCCTTGGTGCTCCAGATCCTCCCAAGAGCCAAGCCTTGGCTCTGGATTTTGACACTGCCCTGGTTCCATAAGGCTGCATTAGGAGGGAGGTGTCAAACAGGCACAGACATCCTGAGAGACGTGAGCAACCATTTTCTCATGGAAATACAACATGATCTTTCTCCATTAATGACATCCATGTGGAAGAGGTGAACTAAGATATCCCTGAGTGGACAGCATTTGTATTTTAAATTTCCGCATGTGAGCCCATCCCCACCAGAACCTGGTGATATCTGTCAGCAGCCGGAGCAAACCTCAGCATTTTCTTTCCTTCCTACCCACAAGTCAGGAGTAGCCTCTTTATTCAATCTTTATCTACTTAAAATGTTTTAAACTAGTTCTCTCACCTGGATACTTACCTTGTGTTTCAAAGATGGCATACACTGGTCATTAAAAGGCTGATTTATAAAATTCTTCATAATTCACTAATAGGTGTATCACAGTGGTTACTTTCTACTGGAGGAGGAAGCAAGAAGAGTGTTTTTAAGCATGACTGTACTTTTGCTTCATATCTTTGGAAAAAGAAAATTGTTAGTAACTGTTTTGATATAATTTTAATCATGTTGAACTATGACTGTATGAAGAATGCAATTCAAATCAATAAGACCAGCCACTGACCAGTCATTTTTCAGTAGGGTTCACAATTTTTCCCATGAAGAGGATGCTCTGAGTATATTGATCAACAATCAACAGCAAGAATGGACGGTTGAATTTAACAACAGGAGGAACAGAATGAGGAAGAAAATCTGTGCCAGTGACTGCTGCAGCCTCTGTACCATTCTCATGAACCTCCAGCAGGGCCTTGTGAGCAGCCTACAATGAAATACAGCAAGAATTAATGTATGTGGAGGACGGGGGTGTGAAATGATTAAAATTAGCACTAAGTTAATTCAGCTACTGCCTTTCACAAAAATTGCTGGTAGGCCAGGAACTGGGAAGAAGGCCACTATATCTTGTGGTGGGTTTTTTAGCAATGTTGTCTCAATAAGCAAGTATTCTCACATTCAGTATTCCTTACCACAAGTGTATCCAACACAGACTTTAGGGACTGCACACCTTGTGGAATTAATTGAAAGTAGAATATTCAAGCAAATTCACAAGGAATGACAATTTCAGAGGGAAAAGAAGCTGGGCTCCAGAATTGCTCTGTATGTATTCCTAACAGCACATGCATTACAGTTTAGCCAGTAGAAATTCAACTTTCATACCAGATTTTTTGTTAAATTATTGCTAGGCATTTTTAATCTTTTTTTTTTATTAGCCCCAAAATGTTAGAACATTGTAATTGCTGCTTTCAGAATGGCTGTAGGAATGCTAGCCTTTCTCTTCACTTTTTCTGTTTCTTTTCACATTATTTTCGGCAAATTGGATGTTTTCCACAAGTCTGGTCTATCTTATATGATTAGCACTCATCAGGGCCTTCAACGGCAGCAGAAGTTTTAAAATTCTTTAAATTATGGAATGCACGTGTTAGAAAAAGGCCACTTTTTCTGCTAGATATGCTGATGCAAGGCATCCCTAACACAGATATCCAGGGGCACTTCTTTCACATGCAGAAACTGGGCTATGTTTAGTTTCTGGGACAAATGCTACACCTTTGCCTGTCAGATGGAAGACGGTACCCTTATCTCCCTATCTTGGAGAAGTCTGAGAGAGTTTAAGGTTACTTTATCAGCTAAACGTTCTAGTTCAGATTATCAGCCAGCCCTAGCAATGAGTAAAATTTCACAACTTAGCTTAGGGCAAGACAACTGGGTATTGAGGAATACACAGACCATTGTTTCTGCTGACAAACTTACTTTTGAAACCTTCACATCAGGCTTTCCTGTGATTCCAGACAGATCAGCCCGGTCAGAAAACACATCAGTTACACCCAGATTCATGAACAACTTCTTTAAGTCATAGGTGCTCGAAATCGACAGTTTTGGAATATACAGTTCTATCCTCCTGTTAATTCAAAAGAAAATTATGGTAGTTATAGAAATAAAAGTATGCCTTGGACTGAAGACTCCCAACTTGCTGGTGGTTCTTCTAAGCTAAAATGTTAGTCTTTTCATCTGAAGAAGATGGGAAGATGATGGTCTGGAGGATGGGAAAGTATGGCAGGAAAAAGACATCATCTGGGCTTTCTTGTACGATTCTGCAACACAGTGACTTGATGGGACAGCAAGCAGCAGTGTTGCCATCCTTTTTGGGACTAAGTTTGCATTATCTTTCTAGCCTTGAAGGTTCTTTTGGAATTTACACCCCATTCCTTCTGAGGGATCTGATTGTTATGTTGTAGTATTACCACTCTTAACATGCTGTGCTTGAGACAAGAGAAATGGAGACACTTAACATCAACTAGAAAATGTGTGGGGGAAAAAAAATTAAATTTCCCAGCCTACAGATCTCTTCCCTTATCGCAAGTCAATGCTGATTCCAATTTTTGCTGAAAATATCAAATCATCAAATCATTTGCTCTGTCCCTTTATACATACTCCAGTCAACAGCAAAGGCTAGTAACTGTAAAACCTGATCATAGTATTCAGATTTTGGATTCTGACTACCTTGAATCATCAAATCAGAATTCTATTATTTACCGTCTTTGAAGTGATTTTTCCCATCTAGACACAATGTCTTTTGTCAGGGCATCTTCCAACTGTTTCATTTTTCTTTCGTTGGGCAGGATAAACAATGCTGCAACATCTCCCTTGTAAGGAATCTGCACCACCTTGCAAGACAGCTTCCTGTCAGAGTATGTTTTATAAAATCCATCTCGAGTCATCATCTTCACTTCAACTGAGTTCTTCATATTCACATGGAAATAATCTTTGTGAGTCCCCTTAATATTGAAAGGATTTTCCCAGTAGGCTTAAAACCAAAAGAGAAAGAATGCAATCAAATGCTTATTTCAAGGAGGATATATTAATATAGTCCAGACTAATGTACCAGATAAACCCATATCTGAAGAATTACACTCATACTTGAAGATCAGAAGTATTCCAAGTTTATTAAAGATTTTGTTCCCCATCATATTTGCTCTGCCTTGTTCAGTAACAACTAAATATCTGAGGTTAAATTTCATATGGACTTGCAGAACAGCTTTCTAAGTCAGATAAATTAAATGAAGTAACTTCATCATATTACCTTATGTTTTACTTAAAGAAAATGAAAGCTGATCAGGATCCAATGAGTTACTTTCTGATTTCAGAATATTGCTTGTAAAGCAAGTTCCACAACAAATGTCTGCCTTTTAAAAGGCAGCATGTTAAGCTCCTTCCATGCTTTTTCATATGTTCTTTATCCTGTAGCACTAAGGAAAATCTTATATGCAAGAATAAACCTGAACTTTTGGGCCTGATCATAACTGCATTACAGTAAATGGAATAGGGCTTCAAGGGCTTTAATCTTCAAAATTGTTTTCTCTTGATGGTTATTCAACTGAATTTTCCATGATATTTTATTTTGTATTAAATCAGGTCATTCACTGAACAAATACACAGGGGTCACAGCTTGCCATTCTGTATGTATGTTCTCTTTTTTTTAATATTAAATAGAAATAAAACAAAATTGAAGAATAAATAATGGAATGTAAACTCAACAGTACTTTGATTGCTTTGTCAGTTTGAGCTTTCCTTCCTGTCCCCCCAGTAAAAAAAATATACTCCAGTATCATAAAGAAATGCCTCAGACTAGGACACCTGAGAGTAGGGTATTGAAATTTAATAAAATACTTGAAATAAAATCTGTTTTGCTGAAGGTTCATCTATTTCCAAACATGTTTTTCTGGGGCGGTAAATTCCATGTATGTCCTGCATGCTGCAACAAATAGATATAACATCTAAGAGGAAGTTAATCATTGCCAAAGCAGTGCATTCGCAAGTACCTCTTGGGATATGTATAATGTGATGACAAGCTGTAGAACATTTAGACTCCAAGTCCAGAGGTACCTACCCATTTAATAGGCACAGACTGTAAGTAAATTAAAGTTTTTGGCAATTTTTGTTAATCTTCATCTTTGGAATTTATTTTTCTACTTCATAAAACATGTAAAAATATTGTAATTTTTTAAATAATAAGCAGATAAAGTCTGATAGAAAAATTTACAAATGCATAAATCTGTTGTGCTCTGGCAATTCTCTAAAACGTGAAGATTTCAAATAAATGAAAGCTTTAAGTTAGAAGCTTAAACATATGCTGGAAAAATTTATATGTGGAAGAGGTTTCAAAGCATAAGACCTTTCAGTGTTTGTCATCACAATAGACTAACCTTAACACTGGCCTTTCTTTTAAAAATAATTCAGAAATAATCTGGGGTATTTGTTTTAGTGCAGGTGAAACTGAGGTACTGCAGTAAGTAACACCCAGGTAACTTACCTTTGAAATAAATGTAGTTAACAATTACCATTAGAGTGTTTGGATCAAGGTCTTTAAGTATTTGGTTTATGTTCCCATGGGTTTTGTTCCTTATATGATCATTGATCTCTTTTTTAGCTTCAGTGGAATTCTGGAAGTTACTAGAAACAACTTTTCCTTTGTACAGTTTTTTGATGTCCTTCAGAAATGTGTTTAGTGGCTTCAGGTGTTTGTCCATGAACAGGGTGTTCCCCATGCTCAGCTGTACCTGGCTGCCAGGGCGGTTCAGAAAGAGGAGGAGATGACGAAAGCCGTTGTGTATCTCCTCCTCCCGGGTGTTGGTGAGGTTAAAGGCCAGCCCTTCCAGCACCTGAGCCTGGCTGGTGGCTCTGGATCCCAGGGCCAGCAGGGCAAAAGCAGTGGAGATGCTGACTGGGGAAAAGAAAATGTTCTTGCCAGGTTCTTGAGTGGTTGCTTGCCTGTAAAACCGGAAGGCAAATTCTGTGTTGCTGGGGACTATCCGTTGGCAGGACTCAAGAGGATCTCCTTCATGGGGATGTTGCTCCTGGGGGTCAGTAGCCTTGTGCTCATCATTGTGGTGGTCAGTCTGGGTCAGGCTGTGGGTAGCGAGGTGAAGCGTGGCCATCAGCAAGCACAGTGGGATGGTGGCCTTCATCATCCTTCGCAGCTACTGTGTGGACAAAGAACAAAATGGTCTCGGATGCTGGAGGTCAGCTGTGTCAACATCTTGTCTTCTATTTCTATCTGCAACTACCTTTAACAGCTATCTGGTAATCACTGTTATCTCCTGACCTGCTCCTTTACTATGGAAGTGTTTTTTAAAGCCTTGTGCTTCTGAGTTTATCTGTAATTGCTATCCATTGCTGCCTACTTCAGTTTTGCTTTACTCCAGCTACAAAAGATCCTTGTTACTGGAGAAAGAAACGTGGAGAAAACATGTGAGTATTAAAGAAAAATAAGTCAGTGGGAGAGAACAAGTGAAAAGGTGCTTTTTTTTTTTTGTCTTTGTGTAAGTCTGTTTTATGGAGATGCAGCACATCAGCAGTAATTCTTAATTCTTTTGTATTTATCTCTAAGAACTCTCAGGATTATTATGCTATTAGTGATTGAATGAGGCTTACGTCAAATGACAGTGCTATGTCAATGGAAAACAATACAAGACTACAGCACTCAGAAGTGGTATTTTTTCTCTCATTCCTGACTCACTTTAACGTACAAAATGACTAATCACTTCATTAGTGCTGGTAAAATTTTTCTGCTTCAATACCTGGTTAGATCAGAATATGTTGCTTTATTTTCAACAACCACTCATGTGACGCATGTCTTCCAGACAGATTCCTCTGTTGCTGTGTACTTCCCCATCCCAGTCATGGGAAGGTGAGGTCACTGGTGTGGGCTTGTCCTCTCCTGTCTTTCCAAATGTTGTGTTCTTTCATAAGGCAAATAGGCCCATGGCCAGAGTAGTGCTCAGCAATGAGCTTGGATCATTTGTCCATTTCTAACTGTGGCCAATTATTTTGTTTGTTTTTTGCTTTCTCTTTTACTGCTAGACCAAGAACATGTTGGGATGACTTGTAGTGTCTTGGATGTTCAACCTCTCAGAAAACAGGTAAGAAGTATTCCAATCAAAAATTCTATTAATGACTAGAAAAGTAACTCCAAATAGCATTCACCTAATGTCCTACCTGAAGTGGAACAGCTTCAGGGAAGAAGGTCACATGAGTTATCTGCTCACCCCTCAGTCAATGGCTTTCAGCAGAACAGATAAGATGTATATCGGGATTTCCCCCACCCTGTGTCAGCACTCTGACCACCAAGATTTAGGTGAAAAGGAGGCAGCTTGTCCTTCTGCAGCTTTGCTCTGTGAGGTCGAAGTAAATTAGGACTTACAGGGTAGGCTGGCATAGCAAAATCAATTTGTGAATCCTGTCTGGACCATGTTGTAAATAAGACAGCTCATTCATCTTAGTTTTGGTTATCTGGTTGTAAGCTTTAGGGAACATGACTAATGGTAAAAAATAAGATTGACAGTTGGGAAGTCAGAATACTTCCCCCTTGTTAATGAATGAGATTTGTTCTAGATATGAAAGAGATATTTGGGATAAATATTCAGAGCAGAGTTGTACACTGTGGAGCTGCTATAATGTATCCCCACCATTTGCTATTTGATATTTCTTGAAATTAAGTTCTGTCATTTGAGTGCTTAGAAACCAGGTTTCCCCCTTGAAAGCGGATGTGCTTCATGACTCACTAGCTCAATGCCATGCAGCTGCATCAAAATCATTAAGGTAAAGATAAAGGGGTACTTACATTACATTCAGAAGGCTCTTTCTCTTGTACGGGTTGTGCTGTTTCTTGCTGCTCCTACTGCTGTTTTCCTCTGTTAAACATTACATGGCTTCAAATATGTATTACCTAGAAGGACAAAGCTGAATGCTGATGAAGCTAGTTTTCTTGGACATTGTGTGTATGTGTCCACATCTCTCCACACCGAACAGAGAGCAAAGACCATGGAGCCCAGCGGGTCAGTAGGGTGTTGCATCCCAAAGGGTATGCAACTCCTAGGCAAATATTTATTGGAAATGAGATTTTTTTGTGCCAAGGGCAGCTACTTTGCCCTATATACTACCTGAGATGAAGTTAACCGGTCATCTGGAGACACACAGTTTTACACTAACCTATGAAGGCCGGGATCAAGGTGAGGGAGCTGCAGGGAGCAGCACTTGTCCCCAGCCATGCTGCCCAGCCTACTGGATTCCACTTAAGTGACATCATCTCTTATTTCTACACAACAGAGACCCCACTGGTCACTATTCAGAAGCCAATGAGTCCTCTGGGCTTATTAATAAAGAGGGTACCTCATTCATTTGTGTACGAATGGTGAATTTTAACTGTAAATTGAATGTTATCTCGCAAATTTTCAGACACAGTGTCTCCTCACAACCTAATAATTATCTCTGTATCTCTGTCAAGGAGCACCTAATACATCAAGATCTGAAGAGTGCTTAATGTAGACTTTAGTGCTGAAAAAAGCTGTATAAAATGTGTGCCATCACTGCAAGTGCCCAAACACAACACTGAACAAATGCAACTCCTGTAACATACATAAACAGTAAACCAAGGCACAGCCCCAAATCTCTCAAAGAATAGCAAGTAACAGAAGAGAGCAACCCAGTAACATTAATCAGTAACAAATCAAGGCAGTCTCAAACAATAAGTCTCAGCCTTCTTGTAAATATGTATTTCAATTTTCTGGGATGCTTCCAAAGGAAGGTAAATGCTGTGAAGCTGGCTGACCAGCATTCAGAGCCAGGTGAGCTCTTTAGATGTGTGGTTTGGACAGCCGGCCAGGAGAATGCCTGCTCAGTCCCTCTGTGCCTCTGCTGCACTTTGCAGGGCTTGTTACTGTCCACTCAGGGAGGAGCGGCACAATTCCCTGGATCCTGAAGAGCCAAGGAGGTGCGTAGGTAAAACAGTGTAAGCATGGCTGTTCCCAGTCCCCAGCTGTGCTGCCTTCAGAGGTACCTCTTTACCTACTGGGATCCATGGTCCTGGTCGTGCAGCTAGGTTCCCTGCACAACCTCGGCTCTTTTTTTCCAGAATACAGCTGAACTCTGCATATTTGTTTTAGATATAGCTAAAGTGTGCTGTTAAGTACTTTGGTTTTGGATTTGTATTTTTTCTCACTAGAGTGCTGTATCCTGGAGCGCTTGTGTAGGTCAGGTAAGGTTTAATTCTCTTTTGCCAGCCACAAAACCACTGCATTTGAATTAAATGAATGTATAAACTAGAACGTTTGATTGCACAAATGCAGTCTTTCAGGAAAAAAAAAAAGAGCAAAATGCTCACAGTGCTCCAAGACAGGCTGTTAACTGTTCTGAGCTGCTCCTTTAGACATACAGCTGAGCAGCATGAAGCGTTTACACTTCTGTTAAACATTACATGGATCAAAACAAAATTATCTAAGGATGCAAATAAATGCTGATGAAACTATTTTTCATCCACATGTAGCCATGCAGAGCAGGCAGAAGTCAGTGATCGCAGGGCCAGCTGGCTTTAATGTTTGCTGTCCCCAGACATGCATAATTGCCATAGGCGAACACGCTTTGGGGAGAAGAGGTTCATGGCCATGAGCAGCTGTTCTACCAGATATACCTTCCTAGCTTATGGCCAGCTAATGCCACAAGTGCTAAAACATGTCCTGAGATGTGTTATGGCCTGCCTTGGGGCTTTAGTTTCCTGACCGTGCAGCTTGGACACCTGCTACAACATGCTAAACCAAACTAACTTTCTGTTCTATGAAAAGCAGAGCAGAAGGAATAATTAACATGCAACTCATTTTTCCCACCAAAGTGAACTTAGCATCACTTCAGAAACAGTCCCACATTCAGAGGCTTTTTCTGAGTTGGTTTAGTCACATCAGAAAAGGAAGCCTGGGCAGTGGAGTCCACTGTGCAGCTGCATGGCCAGCTGAAGAGGAAGGTAGCGGGAGAGACGCAATGCTGTAAAGAAGAGTGTATGCAAAGGTTGAGGGTAATTCTGCATTCCCTGCATGACTCTAAGGTGAACCAAAGCATGCTTCAGTACAGTGAGAAATGTGTGGCTGAGACACAAATACAAATGCTTTTGCTGTTCAGACATTCATCTATTATTCTTGTTGAAAGTCAACATAGATTGATTTTGAAATTCTTTCAAAATCTGCCTCTCTGCTTCATTTACCAGTGTCGTCATGAAGTGGTGGCTTGAAGAAGAGGTCCGCTGTCCTACCAGGGAGGTCAACAGAGGTTCTGCTAGCCAACAACTGGTCCACCACAACGCTTGCTTCTGGAGAGAGCAACCTGCAAAATGTGCCTACGCTGCCACTTTGATTTTCACCTTAGTCCGTTCCTGACCATGTGACTGTACTCATACTGTTTTACTCCAAGTGTCTCTGGTATGAGCTGCCTAGCTTCTTTCATCAGCAAATGCTCAGCAAGTCTTGATACCTCAGGCAGCCGTAACCGTGCCCTGCTGAATGCAATGCCTGCCAGCATTAATCTATATAAACATTTTATCAGGCTGTTACATAAGTCTCCTGTTATTTTGGGCACTCTGAAAGAAAAGAAAAGCAAAACAAAAAATGGCAATGACTCAAGGCAGCAGAATATCAGCCTTGGCCAAGGGAAGGCTCAGACCAAGTGCTTGCAGAGCAGACACAGCCACCACACTCCAGAATATCTATAGCATCCACATTATATATCACATATCTGGTATTGACATGAACCATTCTGTATCAGCTAGCCCAAGGCTGTCTTCATGTCCTGTCCACAAAGACAGTATATGCATTGCCAGAACTCAGCATTGCTTATCCTAGCACCAACCTCTAGCTGAAAGGATGCAGTCATTGTGGGGGAGCAAGAGGGGGCTCTCAAGCAGTAGTAAGTGTTAGGTTGAAAAACCTACCTAGAGTATGTCTTGGAGACATACATGGTTGCAGTCAGACTTTCCCATGAATTTCTATTCTTACAACAGGACTAAAAGGTCTGCCTGCCCCTGGCCTTCAAGTTGGTGGGGAAGGAGGATGCATGGAAAATAAGCCTCACTCAGCCTGGTGATGGTTCATATAAGAAGCTTCGCTGCATTTCTTTTTCCAAAAATATTTTTCTTGGCTCTGTTGTC